ACTCGCCACGCCAAATTCAGACATTTTGGTGGAGTAGAAATGTGCTAAAATTTTAGCCACAGTAGCCTATATTGCTGCTGCATATTTGTGATAGGAATAGAGGTCAAATGCCGATAGGCACTCTTCACAGAATAGTTACCCTTCTTGTTGAACCTCCAACTCCATTCATCATTCACACAATGACAGCTTAGAGGAATGGAAGCAATGGTAGCAACATTTTCAACGTTAAACACATGCAAAATAACATCTAACCTCCACCGAAAATTGCCAATTAAATCCGAAACAAGGAACATATCACAATCAACTATTCTTGGAGTCAAAATTTTCATAGATGACTTAGATGGTAGCCAAGTATCCTCTTATATTAGAATAGATGAGCCGTTTCCAACTCTCTTACAAGATCCCTCCTTAATTAAAGTTTGACTCTCCCATATACTACGCCATAGGAAGCTAGGATTATTCTCTAACTGTGAATCAAGAAAATTAACATTCGGGTAGTATTTGGCTTTAAGTAACTTAGCCACTGCAGAGGAAGGATTCGTCAATAATTTCCAAGCGTGTTTGCCCACCATTGCCAGATTAAATTCCTTGAGCTTCTTAAAACCAAGACCACCAAAACATTTCGGTCTACACTTCCTAACCCAGCTCATCCAGTTTATGCCTTTTTCATTATTCGACTCTCTACCCCACCAATAATTACTCATTAGGCGTTGAAGCTCACAACAAAAGGTTTGGATAACAAAAAGAGATTCATAACATAATTTGAAGTGCTTGTATCACAGTCTTAAGCATAACCTCCTTATCGGCACACGATAGACAATGACGCTTCCATGAATTCAACTTCTGCCATAGCTCTCTTTAATAAAATCGAATACTTCTTTTTTATTCAAACTCACACGAGTGGGCAAACCCAAATAAGTACCCAAGTTAGCCTTTTCCTCAACACCCACAGCCCCACATATTTGAAGTCTCAAAGCTACACTAACATTCTTTGAAAAACAAAGAGAAGACTTGTTCATATTGATTTGTGGACGTGAAGCTGAAGCATAAATCTCAATGACTTCTTTAACCACCTTGGCCTCATTGTTTACCGCCTGAAAAAACCAACAAACTGCTATCTGCAAAAAATAAATGATGAATAGATGGCTCAACACGCGCTAATGAACAACCATGCCACAAATTCGATGAGACCTTAGCCTGAATAAGACGAGACAAACCTTCACCACACAAAATAAACAAGTAAGGTGAGATCGGATCTCCCCGTCTAACTCCCCTTGAAGGAATGATAGGACCTAAATACTGACCCTGATGAAGAATCTAGTATTTGACAGTAGAAACACAACCCATTACCAAACTTATCCACTGTTGATCAAAACCCATCTTACTAAGCATAGCAAAAATTTAGTTCTACTCAAGCCGATCATAAGCTTTTGAAATATCCATTTTAAGAGTTGCAAAACCTTCCTCCCCCCATCGTTTACTCAGGAAAAAATGTATCAACTTATACGCAATAATACTATTATCCTAAATACTACAACTAGGCATAAAAGCACATTGAGTAGGTGAAATAATACCAGGCAAAATTCTCCTTAATTTATTAGAAATAGCCTTGCTCATAATCTTATAAACAACATTACACAAAGCAGTAGGCCTTAAATCTCCCATAGACTCAGGAATCGATTTCTTTGGAATAAGAACTAACAAGGTATTAATCAACCAAGAAGGGAAAATAACTTGTTGCAGATATTGGATGCAAGCTGCCGAAATAGCAGGACCAATAATGTCCCAATGATTCTGATAAAATGACGGATTGAAGTCATCCATACTAGGAGCCTTATTAGGCTGCATACTGAAAACAGCAGATTTAATCTCTTCAACCATGTACGGAGCTAATAAATCAGAATTCATCTCTGATGTAATGTGAACAGAGACATGATCAACCACTTGATCAACCGAACCTGGCTAGATGTAAAAATGTCAGCAAAATAAAAAGTAATTAAAGATTCTAACCTATTAGCATCCTCAACCCAAGAGCCAATCGTATCTTTCAAATGCAAAACCTGGTTTTTTCTTTCTGAGATTTGTAGCCGCCAAATGAAAAAACCTGGTATTTCGATCTCCTTCTTTAAGATAGAATGTCTTCGCACGTTGCTTTCACTTGATTTCCTGCTCATCCAACAAAGAATTAAATTTCGCCTTGGCTTCCAAGAAACGATTAACATCAGCCAAACCCCGAGATCCCTGCAATTCTTTCATGGTTCGACGGCATTCTGCAAGTTCCAATTTGTGGCTATTTCTCAAATCTGAACCCCAGGAAGATAACGCATCACTGCACAACTTCAATCGATTGGGCAAATCAAGACTAATTCTATCGTTCCATGTGTTCTGCACCAAGCTACGACACATTGGATCACGAATCCAACAATTTTGGAACCTGAAACGTTTAGCTACAGTCCTTGCTAAATACTTTCGAACCTCCAAAAATAAGGGCAAGTGGTCAGAAGAAGTTGTATCAAGAGTGTATGCTTGGGCCATGGGAAAAGAAATTAGCCGATTATCAAAAACCAAAATCCGATCAAGTTTTGATTCCATTAAATTTTTGGATTCTTGACCATGCTCCCATGTGTACGGATAGCCCCCCATCGGTAAATCATGTAAACCAACATCAATAACAAATTGACGGAAACCATCAATCAAATTATGTGGCTGCCTTCTACCTCCTTTCTTTTCATAATGGTGTAAAACATCATTAAAATCACCTAAGTAGACCATATGTAAGTTACTGCATCCCATTAAATTTTGGAGCAATGTCTATGATTCACAGTGTCTAGCTTTATCAGGATGGCTATAAAAACCCGTTAAACGCCAAGTGCCAATAAAAGGTCACCTGAGATTTGAAGAGCTCATTAAATAACCACGGTTTACAATGAGAGATAATGGAGCATTAATTGCTACAATTTTCCAATTTCCATTATGCAATTATTTCTCTCCCAAAATTCCTTCCAAATTGATGAAGGATAAATTAGTCTTTAAATATTACCATTTATTGCACTTAGTGGATTTGATCTGGATCAAATTCATCCAAATAACATTTTTGAAATTGAAAATATCAATGCTTACTTTTTTTTTTTTTTTTGAAAAAATATGACTCATTAATAATGATACTATCAAATATTACAAATACTAGATCAAAAATAAAAAATTACAGCGTTCGTTTACCTTTAACAAATCAATAAATTGTCTTAACTATTTATACAAAGATAATAATAAAAGTAATTACTGACTGTAATTACTCTTTTGCACTTTATATTTACTAACTATACGATTAATGAAAACATATAATTAAATTAATTTTACTTTTGATATGTTTTCCACACATTCATCAACAACATCAATTCAAAAATAATCACTATAGTCCATAGGAAGTTTACATGATTTAAGAACATCAAAGACTATTTCTTCCTATCCAACCCTTAAAGTTAACTTATCTTCATAAACATTAATTAATGCTCTTGCAGTTCAACCCTTAAAGTTAACTATACTTCATAAACATTAATTAATGCTCTTGCAGTTGCAGAAAAGGCCTCCCAAGGGATTAAAGAATTAAAGATCCTTCCCTGTCTTCATCAATATCAAGAATAACAAAATCAACAGGGAAGATGAATGTACCTACCTTTACAAGCACATCTTCTACAATTCCTCCTGTATATTTGATCGATCGATCTGCTAATTGTAGAGACATCCTTATTGGTTTGAGTTCGCTCATACCTAGCATCTTAAAAACTTTGTAAGATATAAGATTAATGCTCACCTAAATCTGCCAAAACTTTTTCAAAATCGAGATTACCAATATTGCAAGGGATAGAAAAACTTCATGGATCCTTTAACTTTGGAGGCAATTTGTTTTGAATAATTGCACTGCACTCCTCAGTTAACATTACTGTTCCTTGATCATCGATTTTTCGTTTCTTGCTCAGGATAATCTTTTAGGAATTTTGCATGCTAGGCATTTAAGCAAGAGCTTCACAAAAAAGAATGTGATTTTTTTGAAAGGCCTTTTTGAATACATCCAGAAACTTTAGAAAGCTCTTTGTCATCTTTGTGGCTTTTCTTCAAACCTTTGTGGAAAAGGGACAAGTGAACATAGGGTTTTACTTCTTCTCGCTCTTCTAGGTCAATGATGGGACCCTTTTTTCTGCTCTGCTGTTCTTTTTCTTCCTTCTCTTTCCTTGGTGGTTCTTCTATTTGTTTGCCACTTCTCAAGGTGATAGCCTGCACTTGTTCTTTAGGATTTTTTTCTATATTGCTAGGTAACGTACCTGGAGGTCGAGATGCCATCATGTTTGCAAATTGTCCTAGCTGAATCTCCAAATTTCTTATCGCAGCCTACTGGATTTTATGGTTTTCTCTGGTTTCGTTCATGAAATTGTGAACCCCTCCCCCAAAACATGGCAGTGAGGAGATCATCATGAGATTTCTTCTCTTGAGGAAGGAAGCCTGGTGGTGCGTTCAAGGCATTGTTAGGATTTCCATAGGATAGATTAGGATGGTTTCTCAATCTATTGTCATATGAATTGGAGTATGGGTAATTTTTCCTTCCTTGATTCATCGCATAATTTACTTGCTCCAAGGTTTGCGGATTCAAAGAATCGATCATGCATTCTCCAATCCCATGTTGTCCATTGCACCTATCACAAACTTGCATAATAGAATTTACAGGATTAGTAGTTAAAGGATTAGTAGTTAACATGTCCAATTTCCTTACCATGTTATCTACCTTGGCATTAAGTGCTGTAATGGCGTCTATTTCATAGACTCCTGCGGTTTTTCTTCTTTCGGTATTATTTTGATAGTGGCTGTTACTTGCCATTTCCTCTATCAACTCATATGCTTCATAAATTCCTTTCTTTTCAAAGGATCCACCTGCAGCTGCATCTAAGGTAATTTTGATATTAGGAGATAATGCATTATAGAATGTTTGTACCTGTAACCACTTGGGCAAACTGTGATGTGGGCACTTTCTTAACAAGTCTTTGAATCTTTCATACAATCTCTCAAGCTTTCTTGATCATGATGAGCAAATGTCATTATCTCATTGCGCAGTTTTGTGGTTTTTGAAGAAGGAAAGAATTTTGCTAAGAACTTTTGGGCTAGCACCTAAATCTGATAGGTGTTAATTTTACAGTATTTTTAGTATAGTTTTTAATTAGAATTTTAGTAAATTTTATCACTTTGATTTATTTTTACTTCATTTTCAGTATAATTTTTGTTCAAAGCTTCCTTGAATCATAATCCACTTGATCTAAAAGAAATAGAAATTTGCAGGGTTTTGGCATAGAAAAGAGCATTACAAAGCAAAATACTCAGGCTCTAGCACGCCTAGCCCATGCACTTTAGCACGCCCGTGCTAAAACTAAGGAAAATCAAGTGGAGAGTCAGGGGCGAGCACGGCTTGACCGTGCTAACTGGCACGCCCGTGTCCAAAAGAACCTCAGGGTGTGTTTGCCTAGCACGCCCATGATGAAATGTATCTTGGAAGGACAGAGTGGAAGGACAGAGCTTAGCACGCCTTAGCCGTGCTGAGGTGCACGCTCGTGCCACAAAGACTCTTCGGAGCGTGTTGCATAGCACGGCCCGTGCTCATCCATTCATAGTTCCAGACTCTAGCACGCCCTAGCCATGCTAGAGGGCACGCCCGTGCTTTGAAGGCAGAGCTGACTTGAACTAAAAACGCAAGCAAATCTTCTTCTCATATGGGCCCGCCTCGAATATTTTCCTAAACATGCTAAACAAGATCTAAATCTAATTAGGAAGAGGAAAGAGTCCTAACTAAGAAGAAATCCAAGGCCTAATCAGTTAAGATCTCCAAAGAAGATTTCATAATTGATAAGGATTCTATTTCCTAAACAGAGTCAGATTTTCCTCCAGGAGGCCTATATAAAGGGGGGAGCTAGTCATTGTACAAGCATCTCGAAATTTAGTATTTTTTCTACATAGTTCTCTCTCTCTAAAAGATTTCAAGCATCCAAGATTTGTTTCAAGATTCAAGGAAGCCATCCACATAGCTATTGCCTAGTTTTTATCTCTAAACTCACTGCTAACTTTTAATATATTTTAAACCTATAACCTTTTTAACGGTTAGCCGGTTATAAGTGGCTATCTGAACCATAGTTATTAAATTCGGCAGACCAGACAGGTCATTCTGGATAACTGATGAATCAGCTTAAAATCAGAGTTTTACATTCAAAACATTTAAAGAATAGAATCAGATTAAAACGGCTGATCATGGTTAAACAGTTCAATCCACCGATTGATTTAAACCATTTTTTCTATATTTTAATTATTTTTATATATTATAATTTTTTTAAATTATAATTATTTAATTAAAATGTATTATTAATATTTTTATGATCCATTATTCAACCATTAAGCTATCGGTTAAACCATGACCCATTCACCCAGTCCTTTAGCCGGGTGACGTTTGGACCGGATTAAATAACACTGATTTGGACTAAAGTGAAATCACTGCTATTTGTAACTTCTTTCTCCTTGACGGCGTCATAGCGAGCAACCCATAATTAAGTCTCCCTTTTACAGACGTTATTGAAAAACCCTAAGCCCTCTTTCCTTTTATTCATTTTCTCTTCCGCCGAATAGAGTAACGAGACAAGAAAGAACTCGGCCCCAACTCCCAAGTCATCTAGTCGCTCCCCATCACACTCAAATGAAAGCATAGATAAAATCTTGCTATAACCGCGCTTGGTGAGTAAGGAATTTCTTTGATTTTGTTTCCAGTTCTCATTATAAAATCGAATTCAATGGTATAATATTTGTTCCCATATTTATGATTGTTTTGTTATTTTCAGTTGAAGTTATAAACTTGTGATTCCAATTGCACAGTATGAATCTGAGTGATGGCCTTTTGGATCATAAAATCAGAGTTGGTTTACAATATAGCTGTTGATTAATGAAATTTGGTGTGCTGTTGCCTTCAACTTTATTTTGCTTGTGAGAATTTTATTCAAATCGTTTCCATGAATGTTTTGGTGAAGGAATTCCTTGAAACTTTTGAAAGGAAAGGATGTTTTTCTTTGTTTTTGGGTTGGGGGGTTCAGTTAGTATAGTTCAGTTAGTATAGCTCAGATTTCGTTCAGTTAGTAGGGATTATATTAGTCAGTTCTAGAATTGTTTGGATTTTGTGAATGACAAAAGGCCATTGGATGTGGCAATTTTTATTCCCGTTGCTATTCTATTCCTATCTTCTGTTTTTCAATTATATGATAGTATTTTACAAAGAAAATAGAGAAAAGGTCATGGCCTGAATTTACATTAATTATTATGATTTTGCTGTTTCATGTGTTGAATTTCATGCCACGAAATTTATTCCCTTCTTTTTATAGTCTGTTATCATGTTCATATCGGACCTCTTTTTTCATGGGTTTATGATGCTAGGATTATATTTTTAGAACTTTTTGAATGGCTTTTTTGAATTTAGAACTTTTTGAATGGCTTTTTTGAATGAATATATTACATCATAAATCAAATGTTTTGTTATTCCAGAACTTGGGTGATCAATCACAATGCAGTCTAGTGAAGCCCCTTCTTCAATGGAAGTAGAAAAGGTTATAGATGAAACATCTTTGCCGACGAAGCCAAAGTTTGAGCCTTTGAAGGCTCATGAGATGTCTGATGGTCGAGTTCAATTTAGGAAGGTTTCGGTTCCACCACATAGGTATTCACCTCTCAAGAAAGCGTGGATGGATATTTAGACTCCTATATATGAGCAAATGAAGATTGATATCCGTATGAACCTCAAGGGTAGAAAGGTTGAATTCACATATTAGGATCTTTTCAAAACATTAAAATTGCTAGAGATTCTCTGTGCAGCCTCATTTTAGGGTCTCCTGCTGGAAAGGTATACTCGAAGCTTAAACAAGTTACTGCCAAATTGGCTGAGAGGTTCTGATAATTGTATTTGTCATTATAGCTCCATTTGAGATTTGATGTGCTGAATTTTTGTGATTTTAATTGTCATTTGCATTTTTGTCTTGGTGGCCTTGTTGCCACTTGCTGAAACGATTCATTATAAAGAATATCAATGCATCTGTTGTTTTCTGTTGCAATTAGAATTGATAATGCTTTCGATTCAGCGTCTTTTGTTTCAATTGTTGCTTCCATTACTACTACTCCTACTCTGATTACACTAAGGCCATGTTTGGTATGATGTAGTCAACCATATAATGGAATGAGGATTACATTACATGACTGGTTACATTGTTTGGTTAGATTTGTTCTGAATAATGTAATGTAATTGAGATTACATGTGTAATTTTCATTATTTAATTTGATGTAATATTAATTACATTAAAAAACACATGTATTGTCCATTACATCAAGTACATGTAATACCAATTACATCAAAGTTACTCCAATAAAAACTTTACCATTCAAGGACCACCATCACCACTATCGCTCCACCACCATCACCACAACACCACCACTACAATCATTGTTTAACCACTACTCCACCATCACCACCACCACTCCACCACCACCATTGCGCCACAACTCTCACCACCCTCACCACCACTATTGCTCGACCACCACCATCACTACCACCGTTCCACCACTTCTACCACCATCATTGCTCCACCACCTTAACCATCACCTCCACCACCGTGCCATTGCCACCACCACCACCGCACCATCACCCACATCGTTGCCTCAACCACCATCGCTACTCCACCACCGCAACCACCATTACTCCACCTCAGTCACCACCACTCTCACCACCATCGTTGCTCCACCACATCACCACCATCTCACCATCGCTCCACCACCATCACCATTGCTCCACCACCTCCATCTCAACTACCACCTCCACCTCAACCACCAATCACGCCACCATCAACACTCCACCCCCACCACCACCGCTCTATCACCTCAACCACCATCGCTCCTCCACATCAACCACCACCATTGCTCCATCACATCACCACCTTAACCACCACCATCGGTTCACCACCATCATCACTGCTCCACTGCCTCTACCTCAGCCACCTCCACCACCTTAACCACCATCACCACCACCACAACCATCACTTCGCACGCCACCACCTCAATCACTCTACCACCACAACCACTACATAATAAAAATTATATTTTTGTGTTTAATATGCAACACAAGATAAAATTATATTTTATTATTTTATTTTATTATAGGAATGAACAGAATAAAATGAAAAATCACTAAAAACATCAAAATACCCAAAATTTTATATTGTAATTTAATTTACTCAATGAAAATATATGAAAAAAGTTAATTTTTAATGACTTAATTAACTTTTATTTTGTTACATTACATTCGGGGTGAGCAAATTCGGTCGATTTGATTAAATTGATTAGTAAGGTCAATTCAGTTACTTCGATTAGTTCAATTAATTCAGTCAATTTGATTCGATGAATAAACGTTCGGTCAAAAGTTCGATTAAAGAAAATTAAAATTCTGGTGATCGGTTAAAAATTAATTTAACCAAATTAATCAACTCTCAAAACTACGTCGTCTTGGTTAAGTAGATAATAAAATTCAAAATTAAAAATATTTCAGTTTTTATTTTGATTAAGTAGTAATTAATAACTTCGGTTAATTTTTATTTCGGTTAGAGTCGGTTAATTATATATTTCAATTAAATCCGGTCGGCTAATTAAGTAATAACTTCGGTTAATTTTTATTTCGGTTAGAGTCGGTTAATTATATATTTCAATTAAATCCGGTCGGCTAATTAAGTTTTTATTTTCTTTAACTTTGGTTCTCAGCCAAATAATTTGGTTAAGTTCGGTTAAAAAAATTAATTTGGTTAAGTAAAACAAATTTGATTAATTTATTTCGGTTAAAAATTTTACTCAAATTGACCGAATTGACCAAATGATCATTCCTAAATTACATTTTTTTCGGCTTACCTTCTTTTTATTTTTTTTTTTCAAATAAATTTATGAATCTAAATAATCTTTAATAGCTTAATATAATGAATAGTTTTTAATTCAGATATTTTTTTTTATTTTAATAATGACGTAGTGGAGTGGTGTTTGAGGTGGTGGTGGTATGGTGGTTGTGGTGGTGGTAGTGGTGATTGGTGGTTATGATGGTGGTGGTGGGGGCGGTGTGATTGGTGGGAGTAGTGTTTTAATTACATCACATTATATATTTACAAACAACATAAAAATAGAATGGTGATTATATTCCATAAATTTTATCTATTATATTACCAAACATAGTAATGAAATCTTAATTCAATATGTTTTTTTTATATTCCATTCTATTATATTTTTTATGGCATTATATCTTTGATTATATTACATTGCATTATACCAACCAAACATAGCCTCTGAATAGATTAAAATATGCATTGTGTTTTACCTAATATATCCTCATATTTATGAATTCAGCCTATTTTGGCATTTTTTTTTATTTTTCATAGGACAATACTCTTTGTTCTCTCAAAAATTTTAATCTAGATATAATCCTCATTTACATCTTTTGACTAATAATTTCAATTTATGGAAATTTCTTTCTTCATTAGGTATTGGAATTCTTTTTACAAATCTCATGTTGTTTCCTGCAATTTTAAATATATAATTTTAAAATATGGATGTTGACGTGACAAATGTAACATTTTATCTTTTTCTTATTACAATTAATCTTTTTTTAAAAAAATTTAATAAGCATTAAGTTTTTTTCATTAAATAATGAGTTACAAAATAATGAAATCTAATGGAGTTATAATGGATTCCATTATAATTGATATTTTGTTTTGCATTTAATAAACATTAAATTTTTTTTAATAAATAATAGAATCATAAAACTAATGGATCAATATAATGGAGTTATAATTAATAAACATTAATTAAATAATTAAGTTACTGTAATATTATTGTGAACTGGTATAATTAAAATATAATTTCAATTCACTAAAATTTATTGGATTGTAATTAAATCTTCTTATGCCTTATTTAATTATAGAAAATTAATAAATATTTCATTTAAATATATGAAAATTCTAAAGGGAAAATAAATAATTATATCAGTTGAATTACATAAGAACCATGTAATTTCACCTTTCATCATTTAATCAATTATATTAGCAAATCATTTAAATTAAAGCAACATAAATATAAATCGTAATAATTTTCTTAATAATTATCTATTCAAATCAATTAAAAAAATATAAAATTACAAGATCCGTCCATGGCGAGTACATGACTAGTTGGGATTATATATATCTGTTGTACATAAAAGCTATATTTTGGTTGCATAGAGAACAAATGTCATGAATCTCCTAAAAATTGACTTAATTATCACAGATAAATTAAAAAGAAGAATTAAGAAGTACCAGTAAAAATCTTTCCAAACATTATTTACATGTAAAATATATGCAATATATATATAATTAAGGAGATGGCATTAATACAATATAAATAATGTAGAAAATGCAAATTATATAACAATGTATGTAAAAAGACAGAAGACTATAACTAAATACATTGAAACTTTCTGCAGTTCAGTCCCGTCCCCGTGAATATGGTAGCTGCAACAGAAATTGGAAATAACCAAATGAGAACAAGAAAGCTTCAAAAATTTAAATCTCATTGTTATGATTGTATTGGGAAATTAATTGCATACAAACATGCATAAATGATAGGCCAAATGCATAAATTTGATCTTGTATTTTTGACGATTATTCTTGTGGCCCCTTGAACTTTGTGGAGAATCCATCGTAACCCTACACTTTCATATCAAGATGCCACAAGGATAATTGACCAAAGTTTATGATCAAATTTATGTATTAGACTATAAATAATATGCAGAAGGTAATTCATTTAATTAGTGGGTGGGATCTAAAAAGGCAGCAATAAGAAGAGCATGTGTAATACTTAAAACCTAAAAGAATTCTTGCTTAAATGTTGGAATATATGTACAGTCTGTTGGACAAAAGTATCTGTTTTAATAGTAGTTAGTTGTTTTAGTAGCATTTAACTATTAGCCATTTGAGTAGCTTTTTATGAAATTCTAAAACTGGTTTAAATATTATATTACCGAACACTGTAAAAGTTGGATTAGATAGTAACTGACAAGTAGTTTATTTACCTTTGTTTGTAAAAAACTCATAAGCATGTAGAGGCAGCATAACTTCCCATACATGGACACTCTACTTTTCTGCTGGATAGGAAGAAAAAGATTTCCTTAATTTCAATGTAAGAGCTAAACTTTTGACACAGCAAATGGCAAAAAGTAAAAAACAAGATGATTTTATAGTTAAAATATGAAAGTATATCATAATTGAAATTAGGCTTATGCTGAAAATTTACTTGAGTTCTAAAGTGACTCTTTATTACTTTAAATATATCTAAACAAATCCAAAATTAATTTTTTTATCAGTTTAGTCCTTAAATTTTTATTTTTAGATCAATTAGTTTCAATTTTTATTAAAAGGAAAATTATATTAAGTAAAGAATCATAATTATTTATACCTTTCAAACATTATAAGCATTTCAGTGTCCATTATTTTTAGTTTTCTCAATCATTCAAACATTTTTGTAAAACAAACTTTTCCAATCAGATAAATACACTCTATTTTTTTTTCAATTTTCCCAAATCATAAAGCCTGATATTAAATGTCATATAGTTAATTTGAACTTTAATTAATCTAAATAAAAATTAAACTTTAATTAATCTAAATAAAAATTAAATGAAGGAGAAATTAAGATTACTTGCACCTATCATCACTGTTCAGCGAGGATTTGAATGCTTGCAGCCATCAACAATAGCCATCAACAATAACTTGAGGAATATGAGCAATTTTGGACCAATCTTCACCCTTTTGACGTTCACATCTTTCTCCCAATGCAGAACAATTTTCAATCTTCAGTTGTTGAAGAGAAACTATATTTTGCAGGCATGCAGGTAATTCTTCAAGATTAGAACAATCTTCAAGCTGTAAGTTTTGTAGAGTGTACTTGGATCCTTGGAGAAGCCAATATGGAAAATTCACTAATTTTGGCAACTTTACAAGTGCCAAATTTTGAAGGCTGAGTTGATTGAAATCTTCCTCATCCACCATGTCCAAATCGATATTTTCACAACCACCAATTGTAAGAGTTTTTAGTGAACTCAGATATTTTATGCTTGGTGGCAAACAAATTAAACTTTTACAATTTGCAATAACTAGTTTTCGAAGTTTACTAAGACCTTGCATATCTTCACACAAGTATTTTAGATTTTCACATTTAATAATAAACAAAATTCGAAGAGATTTCAAGCATCCAATTCCATTATTTAACGACCTCTCCTCTTTTGTTGTCATTAGTAAAAATCTAAGGCTGATAAAGGACTTTATATTAGTGGGCAACTCTTCAAATCCTTGACAAAGTAACAAAGCTTGTAAATTTTGCAACTTGCAAATAGAATCAGGGGCTTTGATAATCTTAGAATTTCCATGTAAACGGAAAAATCTCAAATGCTTTAAAGTGCCTATTCTCTCTAGTGGAACGTCTAATTTCAAATGACCTAAATCCAACATCCGCAAATATTGAAATCTTGACAAATTTCAAATTACGTCCAAGCATTAATTGCTTGTTTAAATCCCTTTCCTTACTCATAAAAACAATGTTCTAAAAACAATTGTTCTTGCATGGTCTAATCCTTGTAAAATCGTGGAGAGATCTTGAGGAAGTGAAGCATTGTCAGGAAATAACAAATGTCGAACATTTTTGGGGATCTGTCTAGTGCTAGAGGTCACTATTAAATATTCATTTTGTGTCAATGATAATGCAAGATCATGCACTAAATCATGCATTTTACAGTTAATAAATCCATAATTTTCCTCGAAATCTTGAAAAAAGCACTTAGATGCTAACTCCTTCAAATAATGCAAACCCGCATCTTCCAATTCCTCATTTTCATTCATCGATCGAACAAGTCCATGTGCCATCCAAACTTGAACTAATTCAACATCATTATACATATAGTCCTTTGGATAAAATGAACAATAACCCAAACATCTTTTCAAGTCAGATGGCAATTGCTCGTAACTTAATTTTAAAGCATGTAAAATGCCATTTTCCCCCTGCTCCAATTTCCATAACTCATTGTCTCTTATAGAATTCCAATAATCTTCGTCAGTTTTTGAAACAAGGAGAGAAGCCAGTGTCTTCACAGCTAAGGGAACTCCTTTACATTTTTTCACAATTCCATCCCCAACAATTTTCAACAAGTTTGGATAGCGTTTCTCTTGGCCTTTTGTAAATGCAAATTTAGTAAACAAAGCCATAGACTTCCATCATGAGGAAAGGACCCTAAACATTTCATAAGCAGGAACAGGAACCCACAATAAGAGGCAACTTGACTATGAGTCGTTACCAGATTTTTACTTCCATTGCCACCCATAAAACAAATTCTCAATTGATTCCATTTCATGGGGTCATTGTTTCCAAACATCATCTAAAAACAAGCAAAATATTTCTTTCTCGCCAATGGTTTTCTGGTAGGACTTTTGTTAATTGGCTTCCATTTTCCAAATTGCTCAAGTTTTTTCTATCTCAAGTCTCATACCCATTGGTTTGTCGATTCCATTGGTTGTCGATTTAATAATTTTCTCTGTTAATATTTTTATATCAAAATCTTCTGATACACAAACCCACATTTTAACTTCAAATAATCTCTTTACTCGATCATCATTGTAAATTAGTTTAGCAAGTGCAGTTTTGCCCAAACCTCCTATTCCAACAATTGGAATAACAGATATTTTCCCATCATTCATCAAAAGTTTGATGATGTTTTCTTTATCTGTGTCTCTTCCAATGATATCAGAGGCTTGCATATAGGAGTAGGTCATCTCCCTTGTCCTATGCACAAAGTATCTATTTTCATGTTGTTCATTGAGATGAAATTTAGCTCTATGACTTGCAATCTCATCTAATCTTTCTGACCCGTTTTAAAACGAAATGCAAGTGGATTAAAGGATGAAAAGAAGCGGCCAACCTGAAATTCAATAAGTATAATATAAATTTAGAGAAAGAAAGAGGGTCGAGTATAGTGAGTTCAGATTGCAGACGAGTCGGGTTATTCATTTGATTAACAAGTGATTGCCCTGAATTATATTGAACAGAGTATAACTTCAATTTGTAACTTAAGAATACCTGATCTTTAATTTATGTAACAATAAAATGTCTATGAACATAATTATGTATCTCCGCTAACCGGAATATCACATCTTTGACAAGTAGCAATTTTTTAATGGGATAATGTAATTTTTGGTGTTTGACTTGCATTTTTTTTTTCCAATTTGGTGTCTACCGATGAAGTGAAAAACCAAATTGTTTAGTGGGACGAATTAAGGCCCACATATGCCTAATTATGGCCTGACTTTTAATTTATGTAAGCTATCTAACGCGGTAAATATGATTAGATTACCGATTTATAAAAGAAAATTTATAAAAGAAATTGCAATCTTATGAATAATAGTTAAAATTTTGATTTCTATTTTCTTTCTAAAATAAATGATATAAAATAAATTGATAATAAAAACTTTTATATAATATTATTCTATAATCTACATATATAAAATCTATATCAGAATTATATAAAAGTGGAATGAGAGGTGAACATAGGCGAATTATTATAAGTAATGTAGTAGGGAAATATATATTCTGACATAGGGAATTATATATTTCCTGACAATAAATAACTTTTATATATCTATATTTATAATATAAATTTATAACTATAATTAATATATACAAAAGTAAAAATAAGTGGGTGAATAATGTCATTGTCAAAAAGCTCATTCTAAGTTTATCGATTGAAAAAAATATCATTAAGGATTTTAATTTGATTAATTGGGTAAAAAAAATAAAGATACTTTAATTTTGATTGATCATGTTAATTTTCTATTTAAATCTAAATTTTATTGAGTAAATAAAATTGTATTATATATTATATAAGGTATATATTAAATGCCTTAAGAAGTTTTAAGGATTTTAATTTATTTTTTTTTTGAAAGAGAGGATTTTAATTTTATTAATTTTATTAGTTGAAAAAATAAAGGTAATTTAATTTTGAATGGTTAAATATCCTATATAAGGTAGATATTAAATATGTTAAGAATACGATACATTTAGTTATTATTTTTGATAAATCTTTATTTTAATTAGTTATAATTATTTCCTACAAGTAACCTATACTATAAAAAATATATGCAATATATTATTCATACATAAAAATATATGCAATATATTATTATTTAATTAAGAAATATATTATAAGGTTTATTATTCGATATAAATAAAAATAAAACTCACCAGTGTTTAATTTAATATAATATAAATATTAATGTATAATATGTTATAATTTAAAAACCATGTATGATATTTGAAATAATATGTGTAAAATGTAAACTTTTAGCAAGTTCATTTGCGTATTATATAATAAAAAATTATATATTGTTTCAAGAATATATACCAATTAATAAACCTGTCGTTCAAGTTTATGTGAAAATGTAACTTTTTACAATTCATTTGCTATTATATAATAAAAAATTATATATTGTTCAAGAAATATACAATTAATAACCTTCTTCAAGTTTAACAAAATTGACCTATCAATATCTAAATTTTAAAACTAATTAATAATATAGATCTTACTAAATAAAGAGACTTAGACAACTAAGTTATAATATTTTGTGCATAATATTTATAATTCTAATATAATTTTAGAAAATTAATGATAAATAATTCATTTTTTATTTTCAAAATAAATGATTATCCATGCTATTGAAAGTTCTCTTCTAAATTATATGACTTTACATATATATTTAAACAAAAATGTGAACTGAAACCTAATTTTTTTTGTGAAATATTTATTTTTTACCGACTAATTGGAGAACACAGAACTAGCTCATCTTTTTTTATTATTTTGTATACAAGAAAAATAAATAATAATAACTGAATTGAATTGATTGTATATTAATTAAAATAAGTTAATGCAAAAAGTATATTTATTATAGTATCATAATATTGATTTTAAAAATTTTACAGTAAAAAAAAAAAATCTATTTTTATTATTTTTTATATGTCAAACAAGTGACAGTTTCGGGTCTAGTTAATGGATCGGGTCTTTGAATGAGGTCAACAAGTTAACCTACTAAGTCAACCCACAATTGACCCTCACCGGAGTTGGGTCATTCAGGTTTGGACTCAGGTAGAGTTTGGGCGGACAGATTCAGGTTGGGTTTTACAAATTGGGTTAAGATATGGTGGAAAGTTCTGTATTCTAAATTTCTTTTTGATACATAAAAAGCCTAATGGACTGAAATAATATTGTGGGCTACACAACATAGGTAACTCTTTTCTTTAAATAATATTCACTAAAACTCAAGAGCTCTAACTTCCTTCATCTTTTATCTAATGGACTGAAATACTATTGTGGGCTACACAGCAGGGGTAACTCTTTTCTTTAAATAATATTCACTAAAACTCGAGAGCTCTAACTTCCTTCATCTTTTATCTAATGGACTGAAATAATATTGTGGGCTACACAGCAGGGGTAACTCTTTTCTTTAAATAATATTCACTAAAACTTGAGAGCTCTAACTTCCTTCATCTTTTATAAAAGGTCGGAAGACCAATCAGACCACATTTGATTGGAGAAGTATTATTAAACTAATACATTAATGTAATACTAATTGAAATTATTATTACATGTTCATAAGCATGTGTGTGTCTTTCTGTAATTTGATTCTATTGCCTTTTGTTTCTAGTTAATAACTGCTAACTAGTATTTTCTCATGCCATTAAACTAGTACTTGGCAGTTAAAAAAAAAAAAAAGAAAGAAAGAAAGAAACAAAAATGGAAAATCTTCCAATATCGAATTTTCTGCGTTATCGATATAAAGTCTGAAAATTATATATATGAAGGAGAATAACTTATCTATATTCGATGTATACATTCATCCTATACACCAAATCAATTAAAAATAATTTTTTGAATCAAATGAAAGTATTTTATTAGGATATAATAGCAATTAGTTAAGGAGTTAGGTTGTTTCTATTTTTCTCTATCTTGCTCTCTATTTTCTCTCTTCCCAATCACTCTAGTTAGGTTGTTCCCTAGCAATTGGTTTCATATTAATATTTATACTTTTATAACGGCCACATCACCTATTATTTACAATTCAGTATCCTAACATATTTCTAATCATACACGGAGATAAAAGAATAAAGAGTAATCATTTTTTAAAAAACCTTTTAATCATCTAGGCAAATCTTATCCTGTCCTATATGAAGAGTGAAAACAATTGAGAGGCATGTACCTTTTTTCTGGTGCTTCCATATAATTTAAGCACTTCCCTTCTCTTTGTCTCGCACTCTAATTCATCAAGAACATCTTCAGCATCATAAAGGGCGTCTTTAAGCTTAGCCAACCAAAGGCGCAACTCGTGGTTCTTTTCCTGCTTCTCCTTTGCATCCAATAGCACAGCTTCTATAGTTGACAAGATATCCTCAAGCTTTTTCACTTCCCCTTCAAAACCCCATGCAAAACAGATCTCTTTGTAAGCATTAGAAGCTAGCTTTTCCAATACTTTTTCAGCTATATTAAAAGCAAATGACTCTATAGCCATGTCTTAATTTTGTGTTTGAAAAATTATAAAGTGGGTTTCGGTTTTTGAGAATGAGCTAGAAAGAATTTATGAACATCCCATTTTATAGAGTATTCAAGTATAATGTTGTGAACTAAAGTATGTATTCTTTTCTTTTCTTTGTGGAAATAACTAAATAAGATGCTAAGTCTTTTGATGTGTAAAGTTGGTACAATTAATGATTTATTCTTGTGTGGAATAACTAAATAGAAGATGATAACTAAATAAGATGCTAAGTCTTTTGATGTGTAAAGTTGGTACAATTAATGATTTATTTCTCTATTCTCTTAAGTTGTATTCATTCCAAATTCCAACTTTTTTTGGAAGAAAAGTTAATAACTTATTCTCCACTTGATAAGGAAAAATTAAATGTGTCGTGAGAAGAATTGGGTTTCAATTCATAGCCTCATAGAAATATATATTATAATAAGGCTCCACACGTTTGTTTATGTAAAATAAGTTATAAGAAAATATTTTTCATAATTTTCTATTGTTTGGAACGTTCAAGAAAATAAGTCAATGGAAAATATTTTGTCATCAAAGGAAAATTAAGTCATTTTTAAGGAAAATAATTTCGCATTTTCATGAGAGTAAAATATTTTCTGGATATTGACAAATCTTATGAATCTAATTTTTTTTTTTAATTTATTAATTATTGTAGTCATCACCACCAATCACCATTTACCACCGACCACCAGCCACCGGCGGCAACACCACCGACCACCGACGGCTTTCATAATTTACATTTTTTTTTTTTTTTTTTTTGCATTCTTTCGTCATATTTAACAAATAAAATTTTTAAATTACATGAAAGATTTCTTATTATTATAAATTTCTATTATTATTAATATTTTTTATCATCTTATAAGATAAATATTTTAATATTTTTAACTAATTTTCAATATTACAGCCAAACTACAGAAAATAAATCATTTAAAAATTATTTTTCAAGAAAAATTTTTTCATAAAAAATATTTTTCAGCAAGTTATTTTACGAAAATAAACGGAGCATAAGTCAAATAATTAAAATAATAAACTTTAACAATGAAAACAAATAATTGGTTTAAATAAAATGAATTATTTTTCATTAATCATCATTGTTGTTGTAAAGAAAATATAGCACATTTGTTTTTATACGTTTTATTATTAACTAACATTTATTTCATTCGCTAATCTTATTATTTAAACATTATTAAGCTTTGTTATTTACCAAGTAAAAATAATCATTTATTTTTCACTTTTTCTTTCTCTCCTGATATTTTATTTGACTCATATCTACTTTCTTATCTATTTTGTCTTTGTTTTTATTATTATTATTATTATTGTTGTTTTGTCTCCACATTTGAAATTTTTTCACCCCTTCTTCCATGAGGGTATCATCCCTTCTTTGTGAAAAGTATAATACTCAATAAATGTATGATATTTGATTTTATTTGATTGAAGAATTTAGATCTTGAGTTCTAGATAGAAGAATTCTTTATGTTTGATATATTAATTAAAAGGTTACATGGGTTTAAATACAAGTATGAGAGATAAGAATCTCATAGTATAAGCTAACAGTATTTTACTATATCTTAACAAATATATGAACAACTAACTTGCAAAGAATATGGCATGCATGGAACGGATTGTAAGCAAAGTAAAAGAAAAGCATGTCTTGAACGTGACACAACTTAAAAAAAGCATGTTTTGAAACGTGACACAACATTAAGAAGGTTATAAGTAAGAAATTTAGTTATTATTGTGTA